AGTCCACTACCCTGTCCATGACGCAGCAGCCTCCAGCCAGTCCACAAACGTGCCAAAATGAACAATGGGTCTTTGTAAATCCCACGCCCAATGTGGTGATTCATTTCTCTCAGAAAATGAACCCCTGTGCCAACTGTGCTCGGCCTTTGTGGGTCGTACAGGAGCTCACAAAGGTCCGTCTCGTCTTCTGCCTCCTCTCTCTGGGGGTTGATCGGGACTCGCGTGGTTACGTGAGCGTGCAACGTTCTAGTTGGCCGGCTTGGTAAGCGCGTCTAGCCTCTCGGCCGAGTGCGCATCGTTTGTCTGATTTTGAGGATACAGTCGTTAGCTGAATACTGCGTGAATAGGAACCGGGCTCAGCGTCCCGTGCAACTTTGCGGCTAAGCTAACACAACTAGGGGAGTTCGAATCTATTACAGTGACGACAGTAGAGCCTTCGTACCATGACGGACGAGTACGCCGACATTAAGGTTATGTTATAGCAGCAACTCAAATTGACGTCCAGTTCCCTTCACACAGGCCTAGTTGGCAATTATCGATCAGTGGACCATGTTGCTAGCGTCATCAGTGAATTCCTGTACGACGCCAAGGTTGGAGTAATGTTCTATTCTTGGTATAAGCAGTACGAGGACCTGCTCACCGTTGACCTGGCCTGCCAGGATGACGCCTCGAAGGTTCGGCTGCTTCTGCGAAAACTTGGTGCGCTTGACCACCAACGCTACACCAATTTTACCATGTCAAAGAACCCACGTTACTTTCAATGAGACGGTCCGGGAACTGTCGCAGATTTTTGGTGAACAATCCTCCCTGTTCAATGCCCATTTCAATGACTGAAGTTGACTAAGCGTGGTGCCGACGATGTCATCAAGTACGCAGGCATGGTTAATAGCGAATGAGAGTGTTTTCAACTTGGTTCGCTCACACAGAACCAGTTCCAATGCTTGATCTTCGTCTCTGGTCTCCAGTCTGAACACGATGCCGATGTCCGGACACGCCTCCTGTCCAAGCAACAACAGGATACCACTGTAACACTCGAGAAGCTGTCCGAGTATCAAACGCTGCTGAAGCACGACTGAGCCATGGTCCAGAATGCCGCCGCGCCTGGTATAGTCCAAGCAGTCGCAGCATCTAAGGCGCAATCGCCCGCGCGTTAGCCGAATCGCGCATTGACTAAAAACCGTACCCACATCGTCACGTGCAGCTTCGCGGCTAGGCTAACGTAAACAGGGTATTGCAAATCTATTACAAAATACTAGTATGCGGAGAGGCGCCGGCTACAGAAGCGACAGGCGCCGATGGAGTCTAGCCCATCGACGTAAAACTCATGGTGCTGTAGCACATGCGGTCGCGAGTGCCTGAGCCAGGCGGACTTGGTAAGCCATTAATTCGGCCAGCACCTAAAAGACGACGAGCCAGCTGATTAGATTGTAAGCATCAGTACAGTACAGCGTTCGTAAGTACGCTGCGTCCGGCATCACCAAATTTATTAACCCAGGCCACTAAGATAAGTAATGTGATACCTGTGCTACATCATCGGTGTAGTTGGTCTGTAGGTGTGCCTGCATGTTGTGATGCTTGCATTTCAGGGGTTAGTTGTTGGTTGATATCGCCGGTGTGACTGCAATGATGTGAATGTTCACACGGGGCCTATCCTCCACCTCGTCTATACTGGCTCCAGGAAACAGCTAGTCGTCGCTGGAAGAGACGGGGTGCACGGTCTTCGTGGCTGTGCTAAGCTCAGAGTGGTTTCATTTCGTGTTGAGCGGGATACGGCACAGCCATTGCCTTTTTGTACGTCTGGTACATATGATTCCCCAATTAGACTGACAGAAATGCTGCTGATGTGGATGTTGAAGAAGTGTGGTCCGGCTCCACAAGAAAAAGTGGCTCCCATCCACATGTCTCCCGGTCTAATTCCTTCGGGTTTACACTGGATATGGGGTGTGTGCAGCGCAAGCCACCCATGGTGCCTCTGCAGGCAAAGGCATCCTGTGGCTGTCCCCACTGTGGCCACAGAGACAAGCAAATCTGGCATCGGATGGCGCCAACCATAGGTATGAGCAATGGATGGAGTCACTCGATTTCTTGCTTGATATTATTTTACTATCTTTCCACAAATAAAATGATGCTATCACCTCGCTACATTCCAACAGGAAAAGTTAAATGAACAACATACTTTAGCAATACTGCAGCTGTGGATAGTGAGGATGTACAGCATGTTACTAGTTCTGACAGTAGATAGCAGTACCTGCAGAGTCTACCGCGGTATTAGACGAATGACCGTGGCTGACAGAACATCTGATATCAAGTCCAATTTACAGCGCTATGCTATCCCACAACCCATGTGACTAAATGGTAATTTATTCGTACACATGTCTTACTAAGCAAACGGCGAACACTATGATTCAATGTCTCAGAGCTGAAAACGTACCTTGGACCTAAGGTTGTTTTCGCAGCTGCGTCCAATGAAGAGTACTAGTTCGTACTAAATGAGAACCATGTTAAGGTCACTAACTAAAATGTGATTCGCATGTAATAGTCTGGACAAATGCATATGCTATGTAGGTGACTCAGTCAAGTTATCAAGTGGCGATCTGTATAGCCACCGGAACGCTGAGAACTGGGTAAGCGTGCAAGAATAAAGCAGTATATGTAAGCGAGCGTATATCATTCAAGTCACAGAAACAGGATTGTCTGTTCGACTCATGTTTACAGGTTGAAACGAGTATCAAGTAGGTGGGTTACCTCAGTACGTTTTATGAAATACCACGTCTCCAGGCGCTTTCAATGCCAAATACAAAACGAGCTCCAAAGCAAAAAGCAAAACACGGTATGGAAGCGGTTTAAATGTGTGGCAACAAAACTGCTTGAAGCACAAATCTATGTTACTCGAGAGTAAACGAGTTCAGCTGAAAATGAACCGGCAACACTGAGTTGCACGCTCAGATGAGAAAGGAATCGAGTTATATCCAAATCTTAGTTTTGATTCAGTAGCGGGAAGATGCCGAGAAATAACAAAGTCCTTATAACGGACGAACAAAATGACAAACCACAAAGGAACGTAACAGAATAGAAACAACCATCGGTTGTCGCAAAAGTGAAACTTCAATCTCAATGTAGAAATCGAAGGGTAAAGAAAAACCGATGACTTTTGGTCGCGAACCCAAAGCAGTTTGTAAACATGAAGTAGTCAATATCACAGCAAAAGACGGGGTCCGCGATCTTCTAACAAGCCTAGTCAAAATATTGCTGGAGGTTCAGGTCCGTCATCCTGAGAGAGGGGAATGGAAGTGATTGTAAAGTTAAAGTAACTAGGTGAAAACGGTATAGTATAGTTATGACGGAGGAAATGAAATAATTTTGAAACGCGTTAATATAAGTTGAGGTAAATGATTACCAGGATTCGGTGTGCAAAGTACCGTTGGTCAACTAGTAATCAACCGTCTAGTTATCAGTAAGTCAAGAATAGCTCGCTACATTTTGGTTGCGGCCGACAAGCCAAGGTAGTGATTGGATAGTTGGTGCAGCAGGTCCGAGCGTGACCGTGTGGTAATCCCTAAGTTAAGGAGATCGTTGTACCTCAGGTAGACGACCATTGATTGTTCCCCTCTTTACCACCACGTTCAGTTTATTGTGATCTCTTACTACGTGGTCGTGATATGAGCATCGAGCCACCTACGAGGAATTTGATTTCCACTGCAGCTCCCCAGGTCTAGTACAACCTACGTACACGCTGGACACGGAAGACCTTAGAATCAACGAGCAGGCGCACACTACAGTTGGTATGCTGTAGATTGTAGCCAGTAAGCTCCGCCATCGAGCGTCGCATATGCACCACGATACGGTGACCCACCGGTCTCAGGAAAGAAGTAATAGGTTCACAGGTTAGTTTCAGTCACAAAAGGGGTGTACTGTAAGCATATATACTCACCATCAGGTTATAGAACATGATAAACCTAAAATGTCACTTTTAATTCAGTATCCCGTTTGTCTGCGACGAGATAGTGCATCGAAATGTCAGGAAAATCTTTTCCCGCTCTAAACACACCGCACTGGGACTCCATGTCGGATGGGCATGTCAATGAGACTGCTCACTACAGTGTACTGACGAAACTGCGATTTAGGTGCCATTATAGTGAACAGTTTTAAGCCTTGGGAACAGTGTCGCCATGCTGCCAATAGAGCGCGATAAGTTGTTTCACCGCAGAAAGGCGCTGAGTAACACTAAAGCAGTATTCTTGCCGTTATATAAAGCAGTGGCTAGGCTGCATCTGGAGTACGGTGTTCTGGCCTCGGCATCGTATCTCCGTAGTGACGCTATGAGTACTGAAAGTTGCGAGCAGCATGATCGAAGGTCAAAGAGGCATCGCATAGAGCTCAAGCAACATAGGGCTCGTTTGGACACCAGAGCAAATTTTTTACAAGATTAGTAGTTAACAACTGGAATAAATTTCTGACTTAGTGGAGTCGGTAAAAGCCCACAAAAGGGGCTTAGATAAGTGTTGGTTTGATCTTATCCCAGAGTTATTGTAATTATACTGGAGTATGTGGTGTATTCTGATGCTGACACATAAAGTGCAAAGATTGCTTCTGTTCTTGCTCCATTCTTTTGCATAAGCAAGAAGAGTCAATCCGACGTCGGTGCCAGGGGTTGTTTTTCCCTTACCGGCACAGGAAACCGGGTGCTCGTTAGGCGAAAGCCTCTATCGTCCGTGGTACCTGACCTGACTTGACCATCACGTCAAGCAGGGTATGCCAAATCTACCCTATACTTTTCGTTCTAAGTTTTTAATCCAAATGACTGCCTGATTGCGCATGAATTTCGCTCTTGCCGAAAAAGAGCGTCAGATGGCCGAAAGGACAACTGGATTTCCTGAACCAGCTGCTAGGAGAGCACGGGGTGCACTAGTATGCGCTTCCAGACAGTAAAATGTAGGATGATGCCAAATCGTCAGCAGTTAAATGGGTTCACCTTTAGGACGAAGATTTGTATAGACGGTTACATGCATCCCTCGGGCTCGTCACTGCGAATGCGATAGTACTAATTGGTACGGATGCCAGTTACCGTGACGACCACAGCTACCAAAGTAGATAAACACAGACAGAAAACTACGAAAGACCATGCGCCTGGTGTACGCAATCAATTGGAAAAACGGTGGGCATGAATAAAAATATCACTTTCCGGTCCCAAAACTAACGGCCACAGCCGCCTGTATGTTGTAGAGCAAAAATTGAAAGTTAGATGCTGACACGAAGTAACGCTCACCCTGTTGGAACCGCCTGGTTTGCCATTGCTGTTGCGGCCGGGCCTAGCGAATAGCATAATGCCGATCACAGCGAAGACAGTCGCACAGAGTATCAACATTGTCGAAGACACAGGATCACTGTTGCTTTGGGGTATCGGTGAAAGATCGTTCATGCAATGGCTATCACCGCAGAATGCCTGCGACTGACGAAGCATTCCAAGCAATCGACGCATTGCAGACTCATGATTTCCGATACACTCACACAGATCAAAATCCCCACTGTCGCCCATTTCAATTCGCTCGATTTATTGCAGACAGCAAGAACAACCAGCTGAAAGATATCAGTGACAGCCGTCAGCCAAAAAGACAATTCACAGAACTTGAAATGCAAGAGGAGAAAAATCCTGAGAATAACAACCGCCACGCACTTACCAGTAAAGAATGACGTCAGCAAAAGAGGTTAAGCAATTGCCAGGACGTTAACGACAGTTACAACCTTGAAAGCCACTTGAGCTGATTAAGTTAAAGTGCAAGTAGGACTGAAACCATAAGATTATCCCGTGAGTGTACCTTCAAAAGGTCGCGGAAGCAGAAGTTGAGGAAAAAGTCTGCAGTGCGTATAGACCTCAACCAATGATCACATAAAGCACTGCCCAACCAATTCCGGCATTTTATTCAACATTCGCACTTCCTGCCGGGTCCGTTAGTTTATATTAAAATCTAGTTAGAACAGCACGGTAAGATAAGCCCATGAATGTTGCTCCTTTTGCGCATCGTAGAATAGGGAATTTACAGGTCGGTTTGAGATGTTGCTAAGTTCAAGTTTAAGACGGACTAAAACGATGGGATTTTCGAGCGTCCATTTCCTAGGCATTGGCGGACTTGCCTTGTAGATGGAACCAAAACAAAAATCGCAGCACACCCTGTCTAATCAATTGTTGTCCACATAGCCTATCCTAGCAGTCCCTGCTGGGCAGTTGGATGAATAAGGAAATAGAAAAAGTAAACTCCTAGGGCAATAAGATAGAGGAAGAAGCTTAACAATAGTGATCATTGAAGAAAAACTGAACACTGAACATATCAGGAAAAAGGAAAGCTTTTTTGCTGCCCCAAGGGCATCCAGCTGGCACGCAGAACCTTTAAGACTAGATTCCCTAACCTATGGTCTTGAAGCGAATTCCAGCGCTCTATAACTCGGCGCACCAGACGGGTTTCCGTCTTACTCCGAGCAAACCATAATTTATGCAGCTTCAATGGGTGACCGTGGACATTAGGGAACTTGTCGTGACTAAATAGCCCAGACAATCTGGGAAGATCTCAAGTGCCTCGGACGGTATTGCTGACTCTCGCAAATGTAAGGCGCGACACGGGCTCCTAGGCCAGCACCGAATAAACGCAAAAGGGTAGGGAAAGCGGGCAGCTACTTTGCCTCCAAACCGAGAGGTGAGAAATCCCTCAAGATGCAATCGCTTGAACAGGGAACACCACCTGGTGCTGAACTTCCCTCAGTTTCATCGTGGGCTGTGCAGTCACGAAGTGGAAAACACCAAACATTGGGCCTATTATTATCATGCGTGATCTAACACCACTGCAAAGCGCTTTCCTACCGGCTACTAATACCAAAGCAAGACAACATCCACATGATTCATCGCCGATTGCCAGAGCTACCGCTTGCTCTACGACAAGCACCAACGTGGATCTGGACCTAACCCCCTGCGTCACGGGTCCACATCATTACACACCGACTCAAGCCCCACAGCCCTAAGAGATAAAAAGTCAACCAAGGTTCCAGACTCGTCCCAGCTAACGATACAATAAGCTGAGTCAATGCATAACGCCTCCGATTTGGGTGACACAGATTCCAAACCGAGCAATATAGACTTCCCGCTGATCAACCCACTTCCCTCCCCCACGTGCAAAACCGAAACCACCCTCGCAACACAACAGACTACCAACAAAGGCCAACAGCGGAAACGCGGCACGCCTCGTATTACGAAGCACACCCCGCTGATCCATCACCATAACAATGATACTCGTACCCTACCAATATCGTCGTGGCACAAGCGGATAGGGGATAAGCACCAATCAACATCGTTACCAATGGATCGCGGGAGGTCGAAATCATTCCGATCACAAACGTCGCCCAGGTTTTGACCCAACCCGCCTAATCATTGCGCAAGCCCTACCTACTAGAGGTGCCCAACAATGCTATTAAGCCCCAGAACTATAACAAATGCCGCGGTTTTCACAAACTGTGGACGTTCTACCAGTCACCACAGCAAAATGGAACTATGAGCAGCCCGCGCAGCATCAACGCAGTGATTCCCCTAATAACTAACTATCCGCCTGATACGCTATCGCCCAGTTTGCCCCACAAAAAGCGCTATGCCATCCAAACGTCAAGTGCACAATCCCGTTATCAATCCCCACAACCTCTCGAAACATTGGGGAATAAAGCACTCTCCCAAGGACGACGCCCTTCTGAAAATCTCTACCGCTCCAACAACACTACCCCGCGCTCCCTGATCATACGTTCTCCTGAACAAAAAATATACCAGGATGACAAGCACTACAACCTGGCTATGTCATCCGCGGCCCCCTTTTTATGGCATGCAGCAGGACACGACCCACTTCGCCTATTCCACCAAGAATTGTCGCCAACTGTCTATTACCCCAACAACTCGTGCTCACTGCAACCAACCCCCGGTTGGCTTCAGCCCTCCGGATAGGTTATACAGTTAATAATATTACCACGGCCTCATTAGCGGCCGACTACCATCAGCTACCTATACAATCACTTCCTGATCACATTCTTATATGATCCACCCCAACTTTTCTTACCACTTCCATGTACCCTGCGCCAGCTGCACCCTATTGTGCAACTTACCTCACACAATCTAACTCCTTTAACTCTCCTTGCGTTGAATCATACAGCATGCTGCTTATTAACGCGCGATCTATTGCACACAAGATGCACCTCATTGGCCCATTTATTCTACTCTCATATCAACAGCTGGTTCTCATCACAGCAACGTGACACCCATCAAATGCCTCTGACAGCCTACTATGCATCCCTGGCTACACCACATGTTGTAACGGACGAGAAAACCAGCGGGGTGGTGATTACCTTACCTATGTCCGGGATGACTTTGGTGCACACGATTTTGAACTGTTATCTATAGGTGACCCTGAAGACTCCATCTGGATCCAGACGATAGGAGGTCAACATGACCTCCTTATCGGTTGCGTATCCAACCCTCCACACACATCTAGCGAAAAGATTGATAAACTCATTAGGCCTTTCACTGAAATCTCCCTAACGCCCCCACGTCACAAGATAGTGGGTGGCGATTTCAATATGCCTCTTATCCTCTGGAAAGACCAAGTTGCCCCACTCAGATACAGAAGTTTCGTTGACACCATCCACGCACATAACTGAACCCAACAAGTTCACGATCACACCAGGCTTTCTAACACCCTAGACTTAACCTTTACGCTAGGCGCCTCTGATGCAATCGCTGGTATACTAGGTAATATACATGGCTGCGACCACAAGGTGGTCAAACTCATATTTACACTTTCTACTCCACACTGCGCCACTTCTTCTCTTGTCAACCAGTTTAAATAAATAAATAGATGAATGAATAGTGTATTCTCGTCATTGCGAGACACACCATCAAGAGCGTGAGCATGGTAATACAGACATGTATGATCAGCAATTTCACAAATTAATATATTTTGACAAATAGCATAGGAATGTGTGTGTTTGTTGTCATGTAAAAGTAGGTTTATGTCTGTGTTTGGAGGTAGTCATTTTGTGTGATTAGGTAAAGGTGATTCTGTGTGTTTTAGTTCGTTGAGTTCGCCATCAAAGGGGGAAATCAATGGAAGGCTTCGAATCGGATGACGATAAATAAATAAATAAATAAATATTTTATTCTCGACTACGCGAGGCACGCCAATTGAGGCATGATCAGGTACGTACAGCTGTACAGACATTTTATGGGAACTGTAGTGACAGTAGAAAATTGTTCATATGTCCATGCTTGGAACTGTGCAGTGGTGAACATGCGAAATAATGATTTGGTTGTAGTGGGATCGGGATCCATTTGTTTGGACATAATCGCTCTGCCATATATCGCAGCCATACCTCGACTAATAATAGATAGAGAATCCTGAGTGGTCCATTGGAAGATAATTGAAGAGTAAGCTATCCAGTATGATGCTTCTAATTGAGCTGCCAGTGTGAAGTTATGGGCTGGGACTTTATTCGGTGGCGAGTCACATTCGCCACGTTGCAGTGTTGTTAAACGGACATTTGTGGCTTTTTATAGGGAGAACGCTTGCCAGGCGAAAACCCACCACGTCCTGAAACACTGCCGCCAATCCATTGAATGGCAAGTTGTAACTGGCTATGTTTCTTGTTGAACGTTTTTTTGCTCCGTTATTCGCAGTCAAGTTGCGTCCCATTTTCTGATGCGTTATGCGAGTGGTTATTGCGTGCCTGGGTCCTCTCCTGTGCCAGATCGGTAGGTCAGGAACTAAGCATTCTTTCTGGATATGATGTGTTGATCAGCTGCAGAACCACGTGAAGTCTCGAAGAATATACGTTGAAATATGTTGAAGTCTTGGAGGACAGGATAGGTTCCGAAGAAAGAATCGCAGATCCCCGGGGTATGTAGTGAAAATGATTAGAGATAGGGGAAACCACGGCCATTTGAGCGGTCAAAGCGGATTGAAGAGCTTAGAATGACCTACTGTTCAAGCTTTGTATTGGCACGAGAATGTGCCTTCCGTAGTCGAAAGTCCTCCAGTCAAGAGATATGTGGAAGAGGTATTTTTAGGTAAATTGAACCCAGTGGTTCATGCCGCAGAAGATTTGTATCAGTGCAAGATATTGATTGATTTGTCCGGTTAGTAAGTTGTAAAAAGTTGATAATTTTCCGCTCATGTCCAAGTAAAGGAACTGTGTGCCTTGTATTGTTGTCGAAACGGAGGACAATTCCTTGGGTGCGTGTCGCCGTAACTGTGACAGACTCGGGAGAAAAAGGAAACGAACAGAGACAGCCACACAGACAGAAGAAAGGAATGCATCTGGAATGCAGTCAATCAATTGCGGCGATGCCTGAACTATTGTACCCCTATGCATGTAATTGTTATTCAAATATCGCATATACACGTATATCATAAGTGGCGAAATACGACGAGAATCGAGCGGAACACGGGTCAGTAAAGAATGAAAGATTGAAGAGGAAGCAGGAGTGTTTGGGGAGGGGTCAGAAAGCAAAAG